TGCCTGTTTTTATTATCTTTTTATATATACATAGGTTAACCAGTCTTTGGTGCTGCGTAGGTAGCTAAAACATGTTTTGTGGCCAGTTCACAGAACTACATTTGATTTTTGCTAACGAGTTGCCAAGAGAGTGGCTGCTCAAAAACAAGCAGGACAGCCGTCAACAATAATTTTCTCCAAATTATCTCTTATGAAGAACCTAGTTACTTGCCATAATTCAATCTCCTAGTTTAAGAGGGGTATAATTCCCATGTTACCACTTTGTGGATTTTTAAGATAGTCCATGATATTAGTTTTAATACATTTGTTTTTCTGAATCAAAATCATTTAGTGTAAACAAGTCATTAAGATTACTTTTGAGGGCCGGGGATTTATCTCAGTGGTTCTGCTGCCTGCCTCGCAAGCACAAAGGCCCAAGTTTGATCCCCGGTACCAAAAAAAAAAAAGACTACTTTTGAAAAACTTTTTTTGGGGGTAGGTCAGCACAAGACATTATTCAACCAACTAGAGAATAATTTTTAATGGTAATTAACAGCACATTAAACACACTATTTTTCTGTCCACCCTGGAGTTGTCGGTCCAGGGTCTGGGTCAGGAGCTCTTGGATGAGACCTGGGAATGAACAGCTCCAGCAAACCCCAGGTGAGGCTGTTGCTGCTGTGAGAAGCCACCTTCTGATAAGGGCTCAATATTCTGTGCTCTCAAGAAGCTGAGTTTCTGAAAGGAGACTCTTCAGAGACTATGAAGCATTCTTACATTCTCTGGGACACTGTTACGCTGAGTTGAGAAAGAGTTTGGAGGATCACTACTTGTGAGTGACATTCAGCCTGTGGGAAACAGAGATGAGATGGCTGTTTGGAGGTAAGAGCGTTCAGTGTCCTACTGAAAGGTCGAGCTGAAGTCACCACCAATGTGAGGAAAAGACCCTGGTGTGCTCTGGGCTTTGCCTTTATTTTTTATTTGTTTTTTCGTAGCATGGTTTGAACTCAGGACCTTGAGCTTTTGGGGCAGGCAGCAGAACCACTGAGCTAAATCCCCGGCCCTACCTTTGAATCTTTACAGGCCTGTTTAAAAGCCATTATAACCAGTGTTCCTAATAGCACAGTCTTATGGCATGAATAAAGAAAAGATTCCTTGAAGCATTACATTTATTTTATGGCATTTACAATGTGAGCTTGAGTTTGCAGTTTGTCAGGATAGGATCCTGGTGTTAGACGCTGGCCACTGTATCGAATGGGAATTTTTTAGTTTTTGTGTTTGATACAATTAATGTCAACTCTTTAGTGATTAGGTAGGAAAATAAAATTTCACCAGAAAGCCTTCAGGAATGTAGCAAGTCTCCTGCACAGTCTTCTTTTTTGGTACCCGGGATCAAACTCAGGACCTTGCACTTATGGGGCAGGCGCAGTGCCACTAACCTAAATCCCCAGCTCCTGAACAGTCTTGATTGAGCGCTTCGATTATAATACAGCCATCTCAAATCTTCACGAAAGTAGAAGTAACATTTTATGCACGTGTTGCGTTGCGTGTCTTTTGTGATGCCTGAGGATGAAAGGCCTTCTGGGAGGGATGGGTCTTCAAGTTCCCCTCACAGTGAAGGAGCACTCTTTCATGTATGCATCAGCCTTCCTGCAGCCCCAGTGTGTCTCCTCATAGTTTAAGATGAAAACTGTGAAGTTAGCCAATCTATATGTGAAATATTTTATCGAATCATTCCAGGAAGTCATTGCAGGCCCTTTGACAGCCAGTCTGGAGGGATCCCGCATGCATTGAAAGTTTTAATTTTCCTTCAAAAGGGCAGGGATGTTAGCAGAGTGAAGGCTCTCAAACAGCATGGCAGAAGGCGGGTGGGAGGCTGTTGGGAAAGTTTATTTGGTTCAGTTCTGCAGACGTCCAGCTACAGTATTAGAGTTGGTTTCACAATTGCGTGATGCTTTCCAGAGTCACAGTCTGCCAAGTCACACACAGAGCTGGCTTCCGTGTTCTTCCAGGGTTTGGGGCTGTTCAGTTCTCTGAAGCCCAGACATGAAGGTGGAGGCATAGGGGAAGAATGAGCAGTGCTATTGATAGCTCATTTAAAGAGGTTTCTATTTAAAGTATGGAGATAGCAAAACACTAGGGTAGAGTTAGCTAAACTTTTTGAAAATATATTTTAGATATTTTACTTGAGAATGATGCGTAATTATTTTAAACAGATAATATTTAAAATTTAGAAACAGTATTACAGGACAAATAGCTTGTATGCTGCATGACAAAAGACATCTTTCCAAAGAAAATTTTTGGAGCAGTTAGTTATATGATGAAAGAAACTGGAGAAGCTGTCCTTTTTTTAAAGGGTAATTCTTGGTTGTATTTGTAGGACATAGATTTCCTGAACTCATTATTGAGGTTCCATGATGTTAGAAATAACAGAAATGCATAAAGTAATTTGAGACTCAAACTTGTGATTTTACTTTGCAGTCTTCCCCACACCAAGTAAGACAGTGCATAGCGTACACAAAATTAATTCAAGTGGCATTTTCCGTTGACTTCTTTTAAGAAAATCTCTAGTGATTTCCCTGGGCCCTTTTAGGTCTTGTGGCCTTCACTTTTCTTTAAGTTTAAAATATGGTAGTAAAAGGAATTGTGAACAATGGAGCTCAGAGTTCCTCAAAACCATTGTGGAGGAGGATGGAAGAGGGTTATTTTCTCTTCTTGGCTTAAAGACATAAACATTTTACAATGATTTAGTAATCATAGTATACAATTTTTTTTATTTGCGGAGGAGAGCACTGGGGATTGAACCCAGGGCCCTTACCTTGAGCTATGGCCTCTGTCTTTATTTTATTTATTTAGTTTGAGATAGGATCTCTTCCCCATGCTCAGCTTTTTTTGTTTTTGTTTCTTTGGTTTTTTGAGACAGGGTCCCTCTATGTAGTCTTTGTTGCTGTGTGGCCCTGGCTGGCCTCAAACTCACAATCCTCCTGCCTCTGCCTCCCTGCTTGTCAAATTTTATGCTTTTTAAACCTTAAAATCGTACCCCGAGTTATTCATATATTTATATCTTCATACTTTTTTTTTTTTTTTTTGGTACCAGGGATTGAACCCCTGTCCTTTTGCTTACAAGGCAGGCGGCGGAACCGCTGAGCTAAATCCCTGGCCCTCTTCATACTTGTTTGTTACTTATTATAGTGAAAATTTGAACCATAACTTACCCTGAATATTATGGAAGTTGATTTTTATTATGGGTGTATTTAATAGTATAGCAGTGAACATGTTGGTGATTCAATTTTTTTTTTTTTTTTTTTTTTTTTTTTTTGGTACCATATTGAACTTGGGTCCTTGTGCTTGCAAGGCAGGCCACCGAACCACTGAGCTAAATCCCCGGCCCTCAATTTTTATTCTTTTGGAATTAGAGTAAATATTTGAAATTGTTTTTGTGGTGCTTGATATGTTTCAGTAACTGCACACATGTATGTATGTGTATATGCGTTGCTAGGATCTGAACCCAGGGCCCCACACATACTAGGCCAGCTGCTCTACCATTGAGCTATACCTCCAGCCTTTTATTAACTTTTTAATTAATTAAAACCTTTTTATTTTTAGTACTTGGAGACTTTGTCTAAATTTATTAAATGGAGAATTAAAAATTACATGCAGTATAAAAATTGTGAGCCTCCTAACCTAGGAATATCTCTCTAGGTTGTGGTTGACAGCGGTGACAGCTGTCCTTATCCTTGAGAACCTGCTGTGCTAGGTGCTTTATGTATCTTACTATTTTCTCACATTGCAAAAATATTAATTAAATGAGGATAAAATGGTTTACAAAAGCAGAAAAGTGTATTTTAGCTCAAATTAGTGAACTAAAAATACAGTTGGTTTCTTAGCCATAGATTTGGTTTGTTAAATTATGGGCCATGCAAGTTCTCAAACCACAAACTACCATGACTTTGATTTCTCTGGGCATTCGCAGAACGGTGTTGTTCATGCTGCTGGTTCCATTTGTGAACTAGATCATACTCTGCTTGGCTTGTGAATGCCTGGTAATAATGTGCCTTAATTGCAGGTCAGTGAAGCCAAACTAATTGTTTGTTGGGCATTGGGATTGCCTTTTTAATTTGCTGTATGATGTAGTCTACTAGAAACATACAATATATTCTTATACAAGTAAAACTCATTAAAATTATCTTACACAGAATGCCTTGGTATTTTGTTCATGGTCTTGCAAATAAAACAATTTAATGACATTGCAGAGAGTTTTAACAAGTACTCTTTTTTTTAAGTGCTTTTGTATCAGTTCTGGAAGATACATATAAAATGAATACTCTGGTTTATATTTGTGTGATATTTTTCTTTACCAAGAATTGCCTTTCTTTGTGCTTTTATTGTACTTTAAATGATAATAATGATGTAGACTTTTGAGATAGCCACTTGTTTCAGACTGTGAAGTTTACCCAAAGAAATTAGCATTCAGTTAGCAATTTTGTATTCCATTTAAAAAAGAAACAGGAGTAGGATTGTAGCTCAGTGGTAGGGCACTAGTCTCCCATGGACCAGGGGCCTGGGTTTGATCCCCAGTATTGTAAAAAATAAGTTTGTATATTAAAAAAAGAAAGAAACTGATGGTGTCATTCCCCAAGCCATTCATGAGGGTTACCTTTATAATTTGTAGGAATGCTCGTGCATAAGTTGTTAGGGTAGTTACTATTTGTTTCCTTAGGATTTTCCTGGACTAACAAACAAGGCAGTTGTGCACAGAACTTCCTTTCAACTTTTTGATTACTAATTTCATTCATTGAGCAAGTACTTAGTGCCAGGAACTATTTAAGGACATGCCTGTTCATTTATGTTATTACGATATTTAGCCTGGGAAAAATCTCTGAAAATGAATTTTGAGATCTTTTAAAAATTATTTTACAAATAGGATAATATCAAGAAGCTTCTATTAAAAATTTCAATAGATTCCTCTTGGTTTTTTAAAAGAAATTCGTTCATTGCCTGTTTTCTTCTTCTTTTTATAGGTTATTTCTTATGAGGGTCATGGACATCCCCTATCTAAATTTGGAAGGACCAGACTGTAAGTAAATTTTTATTTTCTCATTGAATTTGCACATTTAACTGTGTGGTCTGAAAGAGGGTAACAGAAAAATATTTTTTCCCTAAAAATGAGTAGTGATTTTGTGGTTGATGTATTTTGCTTAAGCTAACAGGACTCATGGGCCTTCATTAGTCATCTCTTTACTTAGATTTTCCAGTTTATATGTGAGTTGAATTTTTAAAAATTACATCTTTTTGTTATTTCATTTTTCCTCAGAATTTTAATTTCATCATTTCCTATAAATATTTATAATAGATTTTAAGATATGAAGTGAATGTCAGTTACTTGGTAAAAGTTTAGTTTCCAGTTACTTGAATACGTATATATTTAATCTAATAAGTTGTTATTTTTTCCATAAAACTTTGAAAGGTTACGGACGGTTGTAACTTTGTTGTAGAGTACATGCTTGCTAGGTTCTATTCCTAGCACCCCCCCCAAAACAAGATCCACAAATATCTCAAAAGTCATCAGTTTGGTTGCTGTTTCTTTTGTTCTGCTTCCATTTCATTGTTCTTCCTGGCATCGGCTTATTTGCCTTAATATGTGTGTATGTCATTGTGTATAGAAACAGAACAACTGTACTTGGTGACAATAATTATCGCAACCACAGTTTGAGGGCATATTGTTGTATTGCACTTCTTAGCATGTCATCCTCATGGTAACTCTGCAGTATAAATACTGACTTTCCCAGTCCCTAGCCAGGATGGTCAGTCAGAGTGGTTAGGTCTCCTGCTTAGAGTTGCACAGTTCAGTGAGGATCTGGGATTAGAGCACCAGACTCTGCTGAACCACTGGCTCTAGTAAAAGTCCACTTATTTTGGGCACTGTATTCTTTAAATATGTAGACTGCTAGCTGAAAAGGAAAAAGTTAAATGTTCAGTGATGCCCTTTAAATAATATGTGCAGGAATTTCGTGAAAAGAAATGTTTCTATGTAGAATTGTTAGGGATCAAATTGTGTTAGGTTTCATACAGCAAAACCTCAGGCCTAGGATGTGACAACAGAACCCACCAGTCCTAAGAATGCATTTAGTTGTCTTTTACTCACAAGGCATTCCTGATAATTCCCCAAACTAGTGTGGTTGAATTTCATCACAGCATCCCTGGTTTACTTGATCCCTTTCCAGCTATCAACTTTTCATCACATACTTGTCTCCTAGTGCAACCTAAACGTGATCATGTTCTCCATGTAACGTTCCCCAAAGAGTGGAAAAGCAGTGACCTTTACCAGCTATTCAGTGCCTTTGGTAAGTAGAGCCATAGTACAGATGTGCATTTTAGGATTTTGCTGTTCTTTCAGTACAGGTGGTCAGAGGTAGATAGTTCAGGGTAGGTGCAAAAGAATGTAAATATGCAAGGTTTTAATTTCACTCCTGGAATTTTTATGTACTAGTGTGATCTGAGGAGCTTTTAATAACACTTCCCAATAGAGTCCTATTAATCCATAAGAAAACAAGATACTATTAATATTTCTGTTTTCACTGCTGACCGGGGAAAACAGGCTTAGCTGAGATCAGTAATTTTTCTGAGAGATTGTCTGTTTTGGGAGGAGAGGCAGACTCTGCTTGAGATTAAATAGTTAAAACAAACACAGATGTCTGAACACAAGATGTGATATACTTATGACAAGGCAGTTCTCTTTTCCTTTTTATCATATGTGATTGGGTTCATTTGGGGAGGCTTCTGATTAGGGTTTGTAAAAACCATTCTGACCACAGGCCTAAAGGAGTCTCCTTATTTTAAGAAATAAAATATTTAAGCTATTTATTCTTTGGAAGATGTTGGATGAAACAGAGGCAGCAAACACCTGAATGTTCAGTACTGCAAATGTTTGTTAAATGTTTATGTATTTTCTAAGTGGACTGATAACAGGCTATTTAAAAAATATTTAAATGTTTATATTTTAATAGTAGGGCTGGGGATTTAGCTCAGTGGTTCTGCCACCCACCTGCCTTGCAAGCGCAAGGGCCAGAGTTCGATCCCCAGTACAAAAAAAAAAAAAAAAAAA